AAGAAAAGAAAGCTATGTACTAAAGGGAAATTATTCCTATTGGGTTCTCAAGGCCCAAAATAAAACTATCATTTTTCATTCCCTATAGTTCTAATTTCTACTTAGGACGAGGTAGTACCAAAACAAATATGAATTTTATTTTTAAAAGAAAAGTGGTACTATTTTTCCAAAGTCCTGTACATTTTAAAAATCCTAAGGACCAGTACTTTTAGAGCTTGTTGGAAATGAATTAAGGATTGAAGCTTAGTTTAAGAAGGCAGATTTTGTAAAGTAACTGAATCGGAGATTTCTAATTTTAGTACCAAAACTGAGATATCCGTCTTCCATTGCTTAGAGCTTATCAATAATTCATTGCCAAAACCAATTGTTATCCAAAAACTAGTTAAGTTCCCCCTGAATTACATTCCCCCTGAATGTATGCGCTAGGAATAAATCTCAAAAACATACTTGAATTAGGTATAATCAAGCATAGTAAGCACAATTAAGAGAAATATTAAGGCAATGTTTAAACCAATAAAGCAATGTTTAAACAAGAAGATGTTTTCATCAAAGCAAATTAATGTTTTCACATACTTTTCCCCCTGGTTTGATGAAAAAAAACCTTCAGTGCTTCTTGCGCTTTGAAGATTCGGCAATCTCCCTGATGCCTTGCATGTTTCCACATAGTTCTTTGATGCGCCTTATGTTGTTCCGTCTCTCCTCTGTTTGATTTTCATTTGAGAAGTGAGCAGCAATTGTTCCTACAGCCTCTGTTCCATCCAATCCGGAGCTTGATAAGCGCTGTGTTGAGTTTTCCGGATTGCTTCTCTGAGCTTCAAGGACTAGATCAGTCAAGTTTAGATGCGTAGGAATGTAAGAGACTTCTCCTTCTTTGACTGCAAGGCCACGTCCCCACCCACCATTTTGACAGACGTGGAAAATGAACTGCCACGTGTACCACACTCAGTCTAATTGAATTAGACCAATTTTGTGAAGCAAATCGGAAAAATTGGCTTCACTTAGTGGTTTGGTGAAGATATCCGCCAGTTGTTCTTCAGTTGAGATATACTCAATTTTGATATCTTTCTTTTCCACATGATCTCTGATGAAGTGATGCTTGACATCAATGTGCTTAGTGCGAGAATGATGCACTGGATTTTGTGAGATGGCTATAGCACTTTGATTGTCACAAAAGATTGTCACTTCCTTTGTCTTGACTCCATAGTCCAGTAGTTGTTGCTTCAGCCACAGAATTTGAGCACAACAACTACCAGCAGCAATGTACTCTGCTTCTGCTGTAGATGTAGAAATGGAGTTTTGTTTCTTACTGAACCAAGAAACAAGATTTCCACCAATGAATTGACAAGTACCAGATGTACTTTTCTGGTCAACTTTGCATCCGGCAAAGTCAGAATTTGAGTATCCTACTAACTCAAATGAATTGCTCTTAGCATACCACAAACCCATGTTCTGAGTTCCTTTGAGGTATCTAAGAATTCTTTTAGCTGCTATCAGATGACTTTCCTTTGGCTTTGACTGGAATCTGGCACAAACACCTACTGCATATGAGAT